TACTGGGAGAGCAGGAGTATAATAACTATATACACAGTAACTCCATGTACTGGGAGAGCAGGAGTATAATAACTATATACACAGTAACTCCATGTACTGAGACAGCAGGAGTATAATAACTATATACACAGTAACTCCATGTACTGCGAGAGCAGGAGTATAATAACTATATATACACAGTAACTCCATGTACTGCGAGAGCAGGAGTATAATAACTATATACACACAGTAACTCCATGTACTGGGACAGCAGGAGTATAATAACTATATACACAGTAACTCCATGTACTGGGAGAGCAGGAGTATAATAACTATATACACAGTATCTCCATGTACTGAGACAGCAGGAGTATAATAACTATATACACAGTAACTCCATGTACTGGGAGAGCAGGAGTATAATAACTATATATACACAGTAACTCCATGTACTGAGACAGCAGGAGTATAATAACTATATACACAGTAACTCCATGTACTGCGAGAGCAGGAGTATAATAACTATATATACACAGTAACTCCATGTACTGCGAGAGCAGGAGTATAATAACTATATACACACAGTAACTCCATGTACTGGGACAGCAGGAGTATAATAACTATATACACAGTAACTCCATGTACTGGGAGAGCAGGAGTATAATAACTATATACACAGTATCTCCATGTACTGAGACAGCAGGAGTATAATAACTATATACACAGTAACTCCATGTACTGCGAGAGCAGGAGTATAATAACTATATATACACAGTAACTCCATGTACTGAGACAGCAGGAGTATAATAACTATATACACAGTAACTCCATGTACTGGGAGAGTAGGAGTATAATAACTATATACACACAGTAACTCCATGTACTGGGAGAGCAGGAGTATAATAACTATATACACAGTATCTCCATGTACTGAGACAGCAGGAGTATAATAACTATATACACAGTAACTCCATGTACTGGGAGAGCAGGAGTATAATAACTATATATACACAGTAACTCCATGTACTGAGACAGCAGGAGTATAATAACTATATACACAGTAACTCCATGTACTGGGAGAGTAGGAGTATAATAACTATATACACAGTAACTCCATGTACTGGGAGAGCAGGAGTATAATAACTATATACACAGTATCTCCATGTACTGAGACAGCAGGAGTATAATAACTATATACACAGTAACTCCATGTACTGAGACAGCAGGAGTATAATAACTATATATACACAGTAACTCCATGTACTGGGAGAGCAGGAGTATAATAACTATATATACACAGTAACTCCATGTACTGGGAGAGCAGGAGTATAATAACTATATATACACAGTAACTCCATGTACTGGGAGAGCAGGAGTATAATAACTATATACACAGTAACTCCATGTACTGGGAGAGCAGGAGTATAATAACTATATATACACAGTAACTCCATGTACTGAGACAGCAGGAGTATAATAACTATATATACACAGTAACTCCATGTACTGAGACAGCAGGAGTATAATAACTATATATACACAGTAACCCCATGTACTGGGAGAGCAGGAGTATAATAACTATATACACACAGTAACTCCATGTACTGGGAGAGCAGGTGTATAATAACTATATACACAGTATCTCCATGTACTGAGACAGCAGGAGTATAATAACTATATACACAGTAACTCCATGTACTGGGAGAGCAGGAGTATAATAACTATATACACACAGTAACTCCATGTACTGAGACAGCAGGAGTATAATAACTATATACACAGTATCTCCATGTACTGAGACAGCAGGAGTATAATAACTATATACACAGTAACTCCATGTACTGGGAGAGCAGGAGTATAATAACTATATACACACAGTAACTCCATGTACTGAGACAGCAGGAGTATAATAACTATATACACAGTAACTCCATGTACTGAGACAGCAGGAGTATAATAACTATATACACACAGTAACTCCATGTACTGGGAGAGCAGGAGTATAATAACTATATACACACAGTAACTCCATGTACTGGGAGAGTAGGAGTATAATAACTATATACACAGTAACTCCATGTACTGGGAGAGCAGGAGTATAATAACTATATACACACAGTAACTCCATGTACTGAGACAGCAGGAGTATAATAACTATATACACAGTATCTCCATGTACTGAGACAGCAGGAGTATAATAACTATATACACAGTAACTCCATGTACTGAGACAGTAGGAGTATAATAACTATATACACACAGTAACTCCATGTACTGAGACAGCAGGAGTATAATAACTATATACACAGTAACTCCATGTACTGAGACAGCAGGAGTATAATAACTATATACACACAGTAACTCCATGTACTGGGAGAGCAGGAGTATAATAACTATATACACACAGTAACTCCATGTACTGGGAGAGTAGGAGTATAATAACTATATACACAGTAACTCCATGTACTGGGAGAGTAGGAGTATAATAACTATATACACAGTAACTCCATGTACTGCGAGAGCAGGCGTATAATAACTATATACACAGTAACTCCATGTACTGAGACAGTAGGAGTATAATAACTATATACACACAGTAACTCCATGTACTGAGACAGCAGGAGTATAATAACTATATACACAGTAACTCCATGTACTGAGACAGCAGGAGTATAATAACTATATACACACAGTAACTCCATGTACTGGGAGAGCAGGAGTATAATAACTATATACACACAGTAACTCCACAGGAGTATAATAACTATATACACAGTAACTCCATGTACTGAGACAGCAGGAGTATAATAACTATATACACAGTAACTCCATGTACTGGGAGAGCAGGAGTATAATAACTATATACACAGTAACTCCATGTACTGGGAGAGCAGGAGTATAATAACTATATACACAGTAACTCCATGTACTGAGACAGCAGGAGTATAATAACTATATACACAGTAACTCCATGTACTGGGAGAGCAGGAGTATAATAACTATATACACAGTAACTCCATGTACTGAGAGAGCAGGAGTATAATAACTATATACACAGTAACTCCATGTACTGAGACAGCAGGAGTATAATAACTATATACACAGTAACTCCATGTACTGGGAGAGCAGGAGTATAATAACTATATACACAGTAACTCCATGTACTGGGAGAGCAGGAGTATAATAACTATATACACAGTAACTCCATGTACTGAGAGAGCAGGAGTATAATAACTATATACACAGTAACTCCATGTACTGAGACAGCAGGAGTATAATAACTATATACACAGTAACTCCATGTACTGGGAGAGCAGGAGTATAATAACTATATACACAGTAACTCCATGTACTGGGAGAGCAGGAGTATAATAACTATATACACAGTAACTCCATGTACTGAGACAGCAGGAGTATAATAACTATATACACAGTAACTCCATGTACTGGGAGAGTAGGAGTATAATAACTATATACACAGTAACTCCATGTACTGGGAGAGCAGGAGTATAATAACTATATACACAGTAACTCCATGTACTGAGAGAGCAGGAGTATAATAACTATATACACAGTAACTCCATGTACTGCGAGAGCAGGAGTATAATAACTATATACACAGTAACTCCATGTACTGGGAGAGCAGGAGTATAATAACTATATACACAGTAACTCCATGTACTGGGAGAGTCCATGTACTGAGATAATAACTATATACACAGTAACTCCATGTACTGGGAGAGCAGGAGTATAATAACTATATACACAGTAACTCCATGTACTGGGAGAGCAGGAGTATAATAACTATATACACACAGTAACTCCATGTACTGGGAGAGCAGGAGTATAATAACTATATATACACAGTAACTCCATGTACTGAGACAGCAGGAGTATAATAACTATATACACAGTAACTCCATGTACTGGGAGAGCAGGAGTATAATAACTATATACACAGTAACTCCATGTACTGGGAGAGCAGGAGTATAATAACTATATACACACAGTAACTCCATGTACTGAGAGAGCAGGAGTATAATAACTATATACACAGTAACTCCATGTACTGAGACAGCAGGAGTATAATAACTATATACACAGTAACTCCATGTACTGGGAGAGCAGGAGTATAATAACTATATACACAGTAACTCCATGTACTGGGAGAGCAGGAGTATAATAACTATATATACACAGTAACTCCATGTACTGAGAGAGCAGGAGTATAATAACTATATACACAGTAACTCCATGTACTGAGAGAGCAGGAGTATAATAACTATATACACAGTAACTCCATGTACTGAGACAGCAGGAGTATAATAACTATATACACAGTAACTCCATGTACTGGGAGAGCAGGAGTATAATAACTATATACACACAGTAACTCCATGTACTGGGAGAGCAGGAGTATAATAACTATATACACAGTAACTCCATGTACTGGGAGAGCAGGAGAAATCTTTTTATGTTTTGTTTTCTCTGTTTTTTAATAATCCAAGTGTTGTTGAAGATCTTGTCGTTACATTTTTGTAAAGTTGCTGCTGATCTAAACAGGTTCTTACCAACATTATGTTTTCCTTCCGTTTCGAAGGAAATGTACGAATACTTGTTTACCCAAGAGCTGGGCACAAAATGTACAACGTTTGAAAAACTGCCAAAATCAACAATTATAATTTGATATCGTCTTAGGCCGTGACTTTATTTATGGCTCAAACTAAAGGGAGTGTTGTGCAAGAATGGAGGAGACCTTACGTTTTCTGGTATTGGAAATTCAGTTTCACATAAATTACCATTAATGTAAGAAAAAGTAAGCTTGCATATGGGTTGTGTGTTTTGTTGAAAAGTAACTGTTGTAAATCTATTTTATGATAAGGAGAGTAATTAAAGGGACAGCTTAATGTCGTCGTTCTGGTGTCGATACCCTGTCTCTGCAGGCTTTTCAATATAAACACTGCTTTTTCAAAGAAATATTTTATTTTCAGAAATAAGAATGCCTATTAATAAATACATATCTTTATTTCTATAAATCCATGGAATATTCTACATGTTATAGATCAAACAGATAACCATACATATAAGAAATATATCACACAGGAGAGAAGATTTTTAACAAAAAGGGTTAGCGTCTGTCTCAAAGAGCTCACAATCTAATATCTCAGCACGGGTATTAAGGTGTTGCTCTCAGAATATCTATAAAAATAGCATGTTTCAGTGTAATGATGGCTAACAAGGTCACCGCAGGTAGTATTGAACTACATTTTAAATTCACAGCACACAGTGCTACATAAGTGAATTCCATTCCTGTAGTGTTTGCTCTTTCTTGTGTTTTTTATTCTCTGTGACCTAACTACCATAGCATCCCTAAGGGCATGTAAAAGAGCATAGAAAATGTATGTTCTGAGGACTGAAAACGGTTCATATTTCACTAAACATCTCCACTGTGATTGCAAAATGAACAAAATCCGTACTGCAGTCAGCACAATGCAAATGATACAGCTTTTAACTCCGCATTCTCTTTCTTCCCACAGTATGAGGGTTTCTACCAATGTACTAATACCTCTGATGTTATGAAGCATGCGCGGGTTGCCTGATTTGATATGTATTGTATGATTGTACTAAGCAAGACAATATTTAAGGCAAACGTTTTTGTATTTGTTTGATTTCAGTTCCATGTATTCTTTCGTTTTATTTTTAATACCTTGCACTTCTTACTTGCTATTGTTTTCATGCAACACTAATATGACAGCCACACACGCTCCCTTTTAAAGTTTTGTGGTCCTCTGGAGGTAAATAGGATTCTGTTTTTGGACGTATGGGTTAGAGTATCCTTCTCGATTCCCTTGTGTCCTCAGACATCTCCGGATAAAGAGCAGTAAGACATCCAAAAACAGCTCGAAGAACTCGGCCAGAGTGCAGACAGAGAAGCCCACCCAGAGGCCTACAAGACCCCCCATGTTTGAAATCAAGTTAATTTCCTTTGGAAAGAAACATTGAGAATAAAATATTAAGATTTGTTATCTTTAGATACAACTATTTTTTATCTAGAACAGCCATTGTATCTCAAACTGGAAATCGAAGACCACCAACAATCCAAACCTACTCCAATCACCCAATTCTATTTCACTCGGGTGTGAATTAAAAATGAACTGTTGGAGGTCCTCAATGATTAGATTAAGGTTTGATTCTTTTATTCATTGTTTAACATCTAACAAAACATCTATGTAATCTGGCATCATTTTTATTAAGAACATTTCAATATGGGATATTTCTACTCATTAAACAGACTGTTTTGTAGAGTCTCATTACCGTCATTGATGGTTCCTCCTCAATTAACTCAAAGTTTAGCTGCTTAAAGTAAACGACGACTTTCACAAAGTTATCTCTGTAAAGCAAAGAGAAGGTGAGAGTTTAGTATAAATATTATTTTATGTAAGATGGTATGTGATCTTGTAAACCCCTGTATAGGCATTAGTTTAGTGTAACTGTACGAATAGAAATAGACTTTATTCCCACATATAGTCTTTATTTTATAGACTATTGCTAGTGCATGAAATTGCAGTGCTCCTTACTAATATTTAAAAGCTGAAATTTTGACTATTTTAATACATTTGTTTTTGTCACCTACAGCTGCTGTATGTTTAAACAAAATTGCATTACTGCTCGAATGCTATTATTTCAGGTCCTGCCTCTAAATATCTTAAAATATTATAACCAATATTCTTGTAAAGGATGAGAAAGTAAATTAAACATTTACATAATTTTTCTGAATTTTTATCCCATCTCATTGTCCAATGGTACGGAACATATTTTCCTACCTGATAAGAGCTGGGTTATCAGCAATATCTTTCATGTGACCTCCCATCTCCTTCAACTCTTTGGCAAAATTCTCCTAAGATTATTGGCACAGCATACAATGGATTAGTGCACACGATTAATATTCACATTCTGGTATAAACCACAAATCCCCCTACAGCATAATCCTATAATTCAACACCTTTCACCAAATAGTCAAATTATGCATTTACTGTTACATAAATTTTCCATTAAATTGTACGTCACCCCAAATTTTTTAAGAATGGTCCCACATTAGGATCCGATTCGTCAGAGAAATCATAATTTTTTAAACAACAAGATTGTGGCAAACCTAGCCACTTGGGACTGCCTAAGATAGAATGGTTGTGCCTATTTTCTGTTGTGTACTGCGCGCCGGTATAGTGTGGCGTCTCCGGCTATGTTTAATTTATGCTGTACTGTGTATGTCTGTTCGAATCCTCCCCATTCGTTAGCATTGCTATTAAAACTGACTAAGTTGTATATTTTGAAGTTGAAAGGTAACGGTTTATGTCCTCGTAGTTTTCATTACTGTATGTTACAGCAGGGGCTGTTGGGAGGAGGACCTGGAAACGGTAGTCTCCCTCCAGTCCCCTCAACCAAAACCCCTGCTGCCCATCTTTGGAAACCCCTGTTGAGTGACCTGCTTTAAATATCAGTTATTTTTAATAAAGTGACAGTTGACTCTCAGACTGTGTTTCGTCTGGTTCTTGGGAGGATTTGGGAATATTGCCTGCTTCCAGCTTTGTACTTGGTTATTGCATTCTACCAGCAGAGATCCTGGGATTATAAAATTGCAGCTCCGCAACAATTGGTGGCAAGCGGCGGGATCCAACCGTACAGCAGGAAAAACGCTGTTTATACAATTGGAATTGACATACTGGAAAGCAGAAGGCAATTGATACAGATGCAGAAGTGAATGGGGACGGACTACACCATATTGAAACGGCAAACGTTAAAGGAGCTGTTGGAAGCCAGGGGTAAGATAGCCAGCAATAAGCCTAAAGCAAGATTTATTGCCGAGCTAATGGAAGGAGACCGAGCTCGTAGTGCTACACCCCCAGCAAACATGGAGGAGACCCCATTTGAACGAGAAATGAGGACAAGATTGGCATTTTGGCCCGCTCCAGTATCTCCAGAAATTATGACCATAATTTCGGCGGATGCACAGGAGTACGTGATGGCGCAAAGGAATCAAGCCTTCTCACCTCAAGCAGAAACCGCTGCTGTTTCAACTGTGGGCCAGGGAAGGCCAAAAATACCACATCATGCATTTAAAACTTTTTGCGAGGATAAAGACGAAATAGATGGATTCTTGCAATATTTTGAAAGATTGTGTGACTTGCATGATGTAGAGCAAGCTATGTGGGTACCTTTGTTGGCAGGCAAACTGTCTGGGCGTGCAGCAGACGCCTACCGGGCTGTACCCAGAGAGGACAGCAAGAATTATGACAAGGTAAAGCAGGCGCTATTAGAAAGGTATGCCATTACCCCAGAGGCATACCGGCGCAAGTTCCGAGAATTGAAAAAAGGGGACAAAGACTCACATGCGGAGTGGGCACACAAGCTTGACCAAGCCTCACAAGGCTGGATACAAGCCAGCAGAGCTACCACCATGGAAGAGTTACGCCAGATGTTGCTACTGGAGCAGTTTTGTAATGGCCTGGCACCAGAGGCTCAAGAATGGGTGAATGACCGAAATCCTCACACCCTAACCGAAGCGGCACGATTGGCCGACCAACATTATGATGCTAGGAGGCATCATAAAAATAATAACCGAGGGTATGCAAAACCCAACCCGCAACCGTTTCCAGTTATTGCTCCTGCCCCAGCGACAGCACCATCCAGACCAGCACTTGTGGGACAACCTCCCCACTCCCGTTATAATGGCAGGTCCAACATCCAGTGCCATGCCTGTAAGCAATGGGGGCACATGGCCCGGGAGTGCACCCAAAACCGGAGCCGCAAGAACTGGAATCAGCTCCGGCAGAATATGGCCCCGCGGGCAGCTGCTCATTATTATCATGCAGAGCCAACTTTGCCAGGAGTGCCGCTTGAGTTGGCTGATGAACCCCTGGGCGTTTTGCACGATGTAATGTCCATCCATGCTACTGACAACCGACAACCACATTGCCAGACCGTGACTCTGGAAGGGAAAGAGGTACAGGGGCTACGTGATTCCGGCGCTACCTTAACTTTGGTTGCCCCGCATTTGGTGTCAGGATCAGCACATACCGGGGGATCGGTAGCAGTCCGGGTAGCAGGGGGTGCCATGTACCGGCTACCAACTGCCAAGGTACATCTGAATTGGGGTGCGGGGGAAGGTATGGTGGAGGTGGGGCTGATGCACAAGTTACCAGCTGATGTTGTTTTGGGGAATGACCTGGGGCAAATGACTTCCGCTTTTGTGCCCCAAAGTCCTCGCCATGAGGCATATCCAGTGACCACCCGTCAGCAGGCTCGCACCACGGCTTCATCTTCCACACACTCTGAGGCTCAGGTAAGAGACAATGTACCCCGTGTAACCCGTGTTTCCTGGGATACCCCGACTGACTTTGAGGCAGAGGTTAAAAACGATCCCACGTTGCAAATTTATAAGGATAAGGCGACAGCTGGTCAGACAGGTTTAGAGGGAGAACAGTATGTATGGGAGAAAAATCTGTTATATCGTGTTGCTGAGCGGGTGGTAGGGGGGTCTGTACATGTGACTAATAAGCAGCTTATAGTGCCCCAGAAATACCGGCAGGAACTGCTTAGAATTGCCCACGATATTCCGCTGTCTGGGCATTTAGGGATGACAAGAACGAGGTACAGATTGACACATGCATTTTTCTGGCCAGGTATATCTAGAGATGTGAGACAGTATTGTCAGACATGTGACATTTGTCAGAGAGTGGGAAAAAGGGGTGACCGCCACAAAGCGAAATTGTGCCCCCTTCCCATTATTGAAGAACCCTTTAGCAGAGTAGCAGTGGATATAGTAGGACCACTGTCCAAGCCTAGCCCTTCCGGCAAGCGGTATATTCTGACCATTGTAGATTATGCCACCCGGTACCCGGAGGCTATAGCCCTTTCCAATATACAAGCAGAAACGGTAGCCGAAGCTATGATGAAGATATTTTCCAGGATGGGATTTCCCCAAGAGATAATTTCGGATAGGGGGACCCAATTTACAGCCGAAGTGACCCACCAGCTATGGAAGTTATGTGGCATTAAGCCAATTGTAAATTCTGCCTATCACCCGCAGTCCAATGGGTTGTGTGAGCGCTTTAACGGTACCTTGAAGCAGATGCTCAGGACATTTGGGGAGTCCCATAAAGACTGGGAGAGGTTTTTACCCCATCTGCTTTTTGCGTACCGAGAAGTGCCACAGGAATCTACCGGCTTCTCTCCGTTTGAGTTATTGTTTGGGAGAAGGGTGAGGGGACCCCTAGACTTAATTAGAGAACATTGGGAGGGGGGGAGCAGTGCAGATGGAGTCCCCATTGTGCCATACGTGCTGGAGTTCCGGGACCGCTTGGAGGCTCTAACCCAAACCGTACGGGAGAACCTCCGGGCGGCTCAGCGGCGACAGCGCCGGTGGTACGATAGGGGAGCCAGAGACCGTAGCTTTCAGGTGGGACAGAAAGTTCTAATTTTGAAACCTGTCCGCACAGACAAGCTACAGGCCACCTGGCAGGGCCCATACCAAGTGGTAGAACAGAGATGTGACACCACTTATGTGATCGGCCCGTGCTCTGGGGTAGGGAAACGACGCATGCTCCATGTGAACATGCTCAAACCCTATCACCAGAGAATAGAGGAGGTAGCAGCCATCTGTGCCCCAGCCACTGAGGATTATGAGAATCTGCCCTTGCCAGACATGTTAGAAAAGGAAGATTCTGCAGAAAACGCTACAGGTGTGCAGCTGGGGGAGCGGCTAAGTCTCCAGGAGCGTGCCCAGGTACAGGAGTTGATTGCGGCAAAAGGTGCTACCTTCTCCAATTTACCAGGGTACACTCTGTTAGCTACCCACCGAGTAGAGACCCCAGGACAGCTCCCTATGAGACAGACTCCGTATCGTATCCCTGAAGCAGTAAGGGAGCACATGAGGAAAGAAATTGAGGAAATGTTGCAGTTAGGGGTTATCGAACATTCAGATAGCCCCTGGGCATCACCGGTAGTGCTAGTACCCAAGAAGGATGGCACCACGCGGTTTTGTGTAGACTACCGGAGGCTCAATGACAAAACAGTGTCTGACGCCTACCCGATGCCCCGTATAGACGAGCTGCTAGATAGGATGGCAAGAGGCCAGTATCTCACTACCATTGATCTGTGTAAGGGATACTGGCAGATTCCACTAGCCGAGGAGGCCATCCCCAAGTCGGCGTTTGTCACCCCGTTTGGCCTGTATCAATTTCGGGTCATGCCTTTCGGGATGAAAAACGCTCCGGCTACCTTTCAGAGGATGGTAGATCGGCTACTGGACGGGTTCCAAGAGTACGCCTGTGCGTACTTAGATGATATAGCCATTTATAGCCAGACCTGGGCAGATCATTTGAAACATATTAGTGTGGTCATTGACCGTATTGGAGAGGCAGGGCTGACACTAAAACCTAGCAAGTGTCACATAGGGATGGCAGAGGTGCAGTACCTGGGTCACAGGGTAGGATGCGGACAGCAGAGGCCCGAACCGGCCAAGATAGAGGCAGTAGCTAAGTGGCCTACCCCCAGGACAAAGACACAAGTATTGGCGTTCCTTGGTACCGCTGGTTACTACAGAAAATTTGTGCCCAATTACAGCGCCCTGGCCAAACCCCTGACGGACTTGACCAAGAAAAACTTGCCACGACAGGTCAACTGGGCCCCAGAGTGTGAACAGGCATTCCATGAACTAAAAACTGCATTAACTAAGGCTCCTGTGTTAACTGCCCCTGATCCAACTAAACGATTTCTTGTTCACACAGACGCTTCCATGTTTGGATTGGGGGCAGTACTGAGCCAAGTGGGAGCTGATGGCAGAGAACATCCCGTAGCTTACTTAAGCAGAAAATTACTACCATGGGAAGTAGGCTATGCCGCCATCGAGAAGGAATGCCTGGCCGTGGTGTGGGCCCTCAAAAAGTTACAACCTTATTTGTATGGACAACCATTCTCCTTGCTCACAGATCACAACCCGTTGGTGTGGCTACACAGGGTGTCAGGAGACAATGCCCGGCTGTTGCGCTGGAGTTTGGCGCTGCAGCCGTTTGATTTCACGATCCATTATCGCCCTGGAAAACAGAATGGTAACGCCGATGGGTTGTCCAGACAGACAGAACTTGAGAAATGATCTGTGAGCACTCCCCCGGACATCCCCAAGCCGATCCGTTGGGATCAGACTGTGTATGCCGGCTTGGTTTTGGGGGAGCATTGTGGCAAACCTAGCCACTTGGGACTGCCTAAGATAGAATGGTTGTGCCTATTTTCTGTTGTGTACTGCGCGCCGGTATAGTGTGGCGTCTCCGGCTATGTTTAATTTATGCTGTACTGTGTATGTCTGTTCGAATCCTCCCCATTCGTTAGCATTGCTATTAAAACTGACTAAGTTGTATATTTTGAAGTAGAAAGGTAACGGTTTATGTCCTCGTAGTTTTCATTACTGTATGTTACAGCAGGGGCTGTTGGGAGGAGGACCTGGAAACGGTAGTCTCCCTCCAGTCCCCTCAACCAAAACCCCTGCTGCCCATCTTTGGAAACCCCTGTTGAGTGACCTGCTTTAAATATCAGTTATTTTTAATAAAGTGACAGTTGAGTGACCTGCTTTAAATATCAGTCTTTTTGAATAAAGTGGAGGTTGACTCTCAGACTGTGTTTCGTCTGGTTCTTGGGAGGATTTGGGAATATTGCCTGCTTCCAGCTTTGTACTTGGTTATTGCATTCTAACAGCAGAGATCCTGGGATTATAAAATTGCAGCTCCGCAACAAAGATAATGACACTAACAGTAAGACGTCTTTAAAATATAGTATATCTGTTTTAAAATCGGTTTGTATATGAAAAATATGTTATTGTTCAAAATGTATCAGGAAGTATTGATACAGGACAGAGTGGGTCCTACAGTGGGAATGCAATAAGGGTGAAAAGTGGGTACACTGCTCAAAAAGGGAGCAAGTCCTCATTGGACCCACAAGGGGCAGATTTTGTGCAGAGCTCTGTTGCAGGGCTCGGTCATGGGCTCAATGCCCAGTACACTTTGCTTAATAGCGTCGAATGATGCACTACCATTGTATTTTGTGCTAGGTGGTAAATTGGTAATGAGGATTATTCGCTAAACTGGGAATTTTAATTAACAGAGATCGGAGATTCTGTTTTCCTCTGTCTCCAGGTGGGTATTGGGCACAAAGATCTAGACTTTCATTAAGATATTGTACTACACCACCACAACTTGGGTGCCAATACCAAGGCACAACCAGGTTTGACCACTTGTTCCAGTGCCCAACATCCCCAGGGCCTGCATGCTACATGGACCAATGTGTTCCTGGGATTTGGGAAAATGTGGCATAACATGGCATGATCCTCTCATGTATAGTTCTACATGCCTCAGCAGAATTGGAAAGCAATCAAAACACAAATCCTAACACAGAGGCGTGCATTTGTAAGCACTGGCCCATGGCACAATGCATGCTTGTGGAATACTGTTACAAACACAATACACAGCGAACAATGCATAGAACTTACAATGAACGCAGTGGACGGCCACTGTGACCCTGATACGGTTAGTTCGTAAAGTTCTTCTCTGTAAGAGAATAAGATAATAAGAGAAAATATCAATGTTAGCCCTGTACCTGATGCATATAATATGTCTGTATGAAGCACTGGAGGTCCATAGACCTGACCCAGGGATTAGGTACCATACCTCCCAAGTGTCCCTATTTAGGAGTGACTGCCCTCCTAAATTTGGCCCCAATTCCCTCTGTTCCTCTTTTCTAGTCTAACTATTAACATGGTGCCATGGGTAGCTATCACAGCAATTAATGTAATTGGTTTCCACTTCTTTTTTATTTATTTTTTAAATATATTTCCTGTTTTTAACCTTACACCTTTTTTAAAATTCTTTATTTACATATTGCAAAGAATAAATTATAAAATACCAGCAGAAACAATGAAATGGGGATAAAATAAAATAAGGGGGGCGGGAGGTTGGATTGTACAGAATCAATTTACAATATCCATCCATTGGTACAATAAAGTGTATAAAGAGTTGTGGGATTTCTCCTGGGTTGGGTATAACAATCATTTGTGGTTAGATAATTCCGTACACCAGGTCGCTTTTTGCACGCTAAGCACTGAGGATGAAATTGTACCTGCTTAGTTGTTGATATGTTTCCCTGCAAATCAGTGGTGGGAAGGGGTAGATCTAATCAAAACTGGGGTAACGTCTAATGGCTATGGCTTATGTTACTCTAAGAAGGGCTTCCGAAGAGAGCACTGAGTGATATGACTGTAGGTTGCCTAGGGTGGCGGCCTTTTGGTTAGGGATGAAGGATGATAGTTAGGGACATGGATAGGCAAAAATGTATTTATTATTGGTATCCCCGCATTGTATCTAACAAGCGTCTGTAGTAAGTCTTTGAATTCTGTGCAGTCTGGTAGGAGCAGGGACCATCTGAACAGCATCTTTAAGCTTGTTCTTTGTGTGTAACACAAATAGTTAAAGATCCTATCATCTTCTAGATGTCCGACCAATCACTCAATTCCTCAGAGGAACCTAAGTCGCGTTCCCGTGCTTAGTTGGGTAAATCTCATAGCTGTATAAAGCAAAATAAATCTGAGGTGGTGAATTCCTTGTGATTGGGGAGGTATGTCTATGTTATGATTTGGGATTGGTGATATAGGTGAAATAATCTAGTTATGTCTCCTTCCTCGTAGTGTGCGAAATGGCACAGAAAAAGGGAAATAGTTTGTTACTCAGAATCGTGCCATAGTTAGATCTGAGAGTTGAGCAGAGTTATAATAGTGGGTGAAATTGGGGATACCCAGACCCCCATAGAGTATCTACGGACCCGGGGTGTCTTGCCCTTCCAGATGAAGCTGTCAACTTCGGATTGTAATTGTTTAAAATCAGTTTTTTTGTCAATGGGAAGGGGAAAGCTTTGAAATAAATTAAGGAATCTTGGTAAAAGAGTTATTTTGATTGAGGCCACTCGTCCCAACCAGTAAACGTTTTTTCCACTATTTTCATTTCCAAAATGCCCAACGGTTAACATATATTTAAACCTAACAGGCACTGCACTGTTAAAGCAATGTTTCAGCCTCTCTTCCTGAGCCGTCATGTGATTCTAAAGGGATAGTTGACTACAGATTTCTGTCTGCTGAGATCAGCTAAAACGAGGGCTAATTATATTCCGTCTCGTTCCTCTGACCACAGGAAAAATGAAAAAAAAAAAGTCATGTGCCCTGTGGCTTCAAATTCATCGCCTCTACCTCTTGGCAGCAAGAGCAGGACAGGAAGGTGCTGCACCTATCTGAACTCGAGTTGAAGTTGTTTTACTTACTTGCACTGCAAGGGACAGTGACAGTTTAACTCATCGTGTGCGAACTTGAATTCATACAGTTTCACACATTGACCTGCAAGAGGACACAAACAGTATGATCGGAGCATAAAATATCTTCTGTATGTTAATTAGGTAAAACAAAAATGTAACAAGTATATTCACTAGACAGCGAATTAAGGAGAAATGGGTACATTTTGGCTTAATGGCCAAGTAGTAACTATACTGGCGTTTAATCATTTCATCTAAATCTGCAGGCTTTAAATATAGCCAAACTATTACAGCAGGGCCGGACTGGGGAAAAAATTAGGCCCGGGCATTTTTCAATCAGAGCGGCCCCCTAAGAAGGGGGCGGGGCCAGAGAGGGTGTGTTTTGTCATCACTAATGACAAGCACGCCTCCTCTCAAAGTGAGAATGTTGGTTCAATGCGCAGAGCTGCGCTGAAGAGCTCTGGCATTAGAAAAAGGCCCTGTATTTGTTCTGCGCAGCGCAAGCAAATTTAATAACTTGCTTGCGCTGTGTTTGCTTTTAAATTGTCTCTGGTGTCTCAACAAGTGGGATACCAGAGGACAAAAGGGCCAGGAAAGTGTATGGTGCATGTGTTTGGAGCCTGCTTGTGGGATTGCGTGTGTGTAGAGTGTGGTGTGGTATTGTGTAAATAGGTCAATTTCATATGTGTTTGTGGTGTAATATGTGTGGCTAGGGGCTGTAGAGAGTGTGTGTATAGGTGGCATAGTGTTATAGGGGATGTAGCGAGTGTGTGCATACGGGCTGTAGTGTGTGTGTATAGGTGACGTAGTGTGTGTAGGGGTTGTAGAGAGGGTGTGTTTAGAGAATGTTGTATGTGTTTGCTGACAAGGAATGTAGTGTGTGTGTAGGTGGTGCAGTGTGTGTGTAGGAGATCTAGTGTGTAAAGGACCCAGAGTGTGTATAGGAGATTGTGTGTGTGTGTGTGTATAGAGGATTAAGAGTGCATATAAGGTAAGGGATCTAGCGTGTATCTGGAGCGTAATGTATGTAGTGCTGTAGTGTGTGTGTGTGTGTATATATATATATATATATACATACATATATATATTTGGACGTATTGTATGTGTGAGGGGCGCAGTGTGTGTGTATGTAAGAGGGGTGCTGTGTGTGAGGGTGTTTTTATCTGCCGTCACATTCTAATTTTCTTTGTCTGTTAACTCACTGAGGGTTATTTTATATATTATATATATATATATATATCTGTAAATATATATATATATATATATATATATATGTGTGTGTGTGTGTGTGTGAGCGAGGGTGCTGTGTGTGTCTGGGTGCTGTGTGTCTGGGTGCTGTGTGTCTGGGGGTGCTGTGTGTCTGGGGGTGCTGTGTGTGTCTGGGGGTACTGTGTGTGTCTGGGGGTACTGTGTGTGTCTGTGTGTCTGGGGGTGCTGTGTGTCTGGGGGTGATGTGTGTGTCTGAGGGTGATGTGTGTGTCTGGGGGTGCTGTGTGTTTCTGGGGGTGATGTGTATGTCTGGGGGTACTGTGTGTGTCTGGGGGATGTGTGTGTGTCTGGGGGCGCTGTGTGTGTCTGGGGTACTGTGTGTGTCTGGGGGTGCTGTGTGTGCTGGGGGTGCTGTGTGTGTCTGGGTGCTGTGTGTGTCTGGGGGTACTGTGTGTGTCTGGGTGCTGTGGTGTCTGGGGGTGATGTGTGTGTCTGGGGGTGTGTGTGTGTGTCTGGGGGTGATGTGTGTGAGTGTGATTTTTTTTAATTTAAATTTATTTTTTTTAATTAATAATAATAATTTAAAAAAAAAAGTTATATCCCCCCCCTCCCTTCTTACCTTTAGCCTGGGAGGGGGGGGCCGTTTTGCCTGGGACGGGGGGGGGGGGCCGTTCTGCCATGGGAAAGGCCTTGCTGCCTGATCCCTGGTGGTCCTAGTGGTGAGCGTGAACTCTAGCCTGTAGGCTAGAGTTCACTCTCGCGAGATCTGAGCGTTGCTGCGGTAACCGCGGCAACGCTCAGAATCCCGCGAGAGGACCCGGCGGAGCTGCTGGATAGAGCTCCGCCGGTCCTCTCCTCCCTCCCTCACACCCCAGCAAGCGGCCGCCTGGAAGTGTCTCTGGGCCGGTAAAGGGAGATCTTTGATCTCCCCACCGGCCCATGGAGGCACACAGCGGGGCCGGCGCTCGGGTAGCGCTGGCCCTGCAGGAGCCGGCCGGGGAGATCCTGTGATCTCCCCTGCCGGCCTCGGCCCCACAGCCATCGCGGCCCACCGGGCATTTGCCCGGTATGCCCGATGGCCAGTCCGGGCCTGTATTACAGAAAGAGTTTATTATCTAAACGAGGATATCTGACATGACAATTGCAAATTTCAGGCCAAAATAAATGAACTGGAAACATTCTCCAACTCAGCAATTTTTCCAGATCGGCTGCTTTGGCCTCAGATTTGCAGTGCCCTTGCCAGTTCTTCTCAATGAACCCCACTGTTTCTATGCAACCTGTATATGTTATAGCAAAAAATGTATGGGTAAACAACTCAAAAATATTATAATAGGGATAGGAAGGTAAGTTGATTTAGACACAGAAGGGGTCATTATCTTGAACTTGCCACAAGGCCAATATTTGCTTGCCATCCCCTCAGAGGAAGGGAACAGGGGCAGCTGCCTTATTGCACAGATAGAAAATATGATAACCCTTGCTTTATAATTCTCATTATTCCTTTGCAGCCTGATCATCTATGTAATAACAAAGCATCTCGTCATTCTTGTTACTCACGGACAGCTGTATCGCTGAGATTACACTTGGGAACGAACAGCTCCTTTGGATAGGCAAATTCCCAGTGACTGCAGCCACAATTCTCCATGATGTTCTGCTGTGCGCATGTTCTCTTACACGCCTGGCGATTGGGGAAATATAGAAACATAGTAATTAGAATCTTTTAAACATCGGTGGCTGCCGGAGGTGTGCCAGGTATAAGGTCCACATTTTCTTCCCAATCACTTTTTTTAGGATTCAACAGACTATTTATTATTATTATTTATTTATTTTTTGCATGAAGTAGTTTTTTTTGTTTTGTTTTTTAGTTCAAGAAATTTATTTTAGTTCTATCTACATACTTCAGGTAAAAATGTATAGTTTATACCGTTTATGTTATTTTTTAAAACTAGTATTTTTTAAAGTGAAACTTTAATACGGGCTGTAGTGGTTATGATGAATGGAGTAATCCTATATTTAAATTAAAGAAAAAAAATGTAAGAGTTGTTTTTTGATGAATATTTTTACTTAGCTACACTCAGCACCCAGTATAAGCTTCAGTATTATAATGAACACGTCATTGGTTGAGATTCTCATTGTTTCCAGATACAATTGTTATTCTAGATTGTTTCAAATCTGGCAAGGAGTTCAGATACTTCCCTTATTTGGTTAACCCTGGACAGGTTTCATTTCCTTTGATTAACCAGCTCACATGATACAACTCATCTATGACCTCAGCTCTTCCAACGTGGAACTAAGCACCACTAATTAGTGAAGCAGAAAAACAATGTGTCTCGCTGCTTTCAAAACAGATCAGAAATGTTTTCATGTTTTCTTTTTTCTTTTGTTTTTTTAATATTACATTTCTTTTTGTAACCCTTACAATATGCTGTGTGTTTTCATTTTTTTTTTTTTTTAGGAATTTTTCTCTTGCTAGAATGTTAAATAACTTCTCTTGCTGCATGGCTTTATTAATTAAAGGAACACTATAGTCACCTAAATTACTTTAGCTAAATAAAGCAGTTTTAGTGTATAGATCATTCCCCTGCAATTTCACTGCTCAATTCACTGTCATTTAGGAGTTAAATCACTTTGTTTCTGTTTATGCAGCCCTAGCCACACCTCCCCTGGATATGATTGACAGAGCCTGCATGAAAAAAACAACTGGTTTTACTTTCAAACAGATGTAATTTACCTTAAATAATTGTATCTCAATCTCTAAATTTAACTTTAATCACATACAGGAGGCTCTTGCAGGGTCTAGCAAGCTATTAACATATCAGGGGATAAGAAAATCTTAATTAAACAGAACTTGCAATAAAGAAAGCCTAAATAGGGCTTTCTTTACAGGAAGTGTTTATGGAAGGCTGTACAAGTCACATGCAGGGAGGTGTGACTAGGGTTCATAAACAAAGGGATTTACACCAAAACTGCTTCATTAAGCTAAAGTTGTTCAGGTGACTATAGTGTCCCTTTAAAACATACCTACACTCAGGTTACATGTATCAAGAAATAACAAAACCAGCTCTCTCAACTGTCCCACTTTTATTGGTATAGTTCTGAATTCGGGGATCTGTCCAACTATCCCAATTTTGTTCCCTGGTGTTCTGCATCCAGGTGAACCGGGGAACTGTCCCCAGGCAGCATAGTGCAAATGCATCATTATTAGCGCCTAACATCTCAGTGTTTACAATAGTTCTGTGTATTGTGGGCTGGCCGGGAGGCTGTCTGCCAGCCTGCCGTGTTAGATGCTAGGCTAACGCTCCTTCAGTGGACTGGCACATACAACTCCAAGTAAGCCTGCGTCCATTGTGGTCATTACTAGTAACGCCCCCTACCACCCGGCCAAATGTCATACCTTCCAATACTGCAAAAAGGAAGACGGTTTGCATCAGAGATGATAACTTTCCTGTGGAGCCTTCCAGTCAAAAAACAGCTATATAGCAATAAAATTTCAATAACGACTGTCACGGAATGTCTTTTTTTTATTGCAGAGTAAATCAGCCCCGTAATACTCAGAGTGTAAAAATATAAACATATATACGTACCTCTCTTGTATATCCAGCACCATAGGCCTCTTTATAAAAATTCTTTATATTTTCACCCTCCGTACACTGACTGCCATATGGGGCCTTTAATCTCTCGATGTGCACCTAAAAAAAAAATACTAATTAAAGTGAAATCACTATATCATATCATACAAGTCTTTCAGCGATATTATTAGCACTACAGAGCTCTATGCAATATAAATCGATATCATGGGGTATTAATGTACACAGTTTGATACTGTATCATTAAAGGGTTACTATAGTCACCTGAACAACTTTAGCTTAATGAAGCAGTTTTGGTGTATAGAGCATGCCCCTGCAGCCTCACTGCTCAATCCTCTGCCATTTAGGAGTTAAATCCCTTTTGTTTATGAACCCTAGTCACACCTCCCTGCATGTGACTTGCACAGCCTTCCATAAACACTTCCTGTAAAGAGAGCCCTATTTAGGCTTTCTTTATTGCAAGTTCTGTTTAATTAAGATTTTCTTATCCCTGCTATGTTAATAGCTTGCTAGACCCTGCAAGAGCCTCCTGTATGTGATTAAAGTTCAATTTAGAGATTGAGATACAATTATTTAAGGTAAATCATCTGTTTGAAAGTGAAACCAGTTTTTTTTTTCCATGCAGGCTCTGTCAATCATAGCCAGGGTAGGTGTGGCTAGGGCTGCATAAACAGAAACAAAGTGATTTAACTCCTAAATGACAGTGAATTGAGCAGTGAAACTGCTTTATTTAGCTAAAGTAATTTAGGTGACTATAGTGTTCCTTTAAAGGACCACTCTAGGCACCCAGACCACTTCAGCTTAATGAAGTGGTCTGAGTGCCAGGTCCAGCTAGGGTTAACCCATTTTTTCATAAACATAGCAGTTTCAGAGAAACTGCTATGTTTATGAATGGGTTAAGCCTTCCCCCATTCACTCTAGTGGCTGTCTCATTGACAGCCACTAGAGGCGCTTGCGTGCTTTTCACTGTGATTTTCACAGTGAGAGCACGCCAGCGTCCATAGGAAAGCATTATGAATGCTTTCCTATGTGACCGGTTGAATGCGCGCGCAGCTCTTGCCGCGCGTGCGCATTCAGCCGACGGGGCGGATTGGAGGCGGAGAGGAGTAGGAGAGCTCTCCGCCCAGCGCTGGAAAAAGGTAAGTTTTAACCCTTTTCCCCTTTCCAGAGCCGGGTGGGAGGGGGTCCCTGAGGGTGGGGGCACCCTCAGGGCACTATAGTGCCAGGAAAACGAATATGTTTTCCTGGCACTATAGTGGTCCTTTAATGTAAAACACAGATTTTCCTTTAAAACAGCAATGTGTCAGAGTTTCTTCCAATCTGGTTGGACTCTAAGACTAGTGACAGCTCACCTCAGCACCCCGAAGGCTTGTGAACTAAAACGCCCACAATGCTCAGCCAATTCCAAGTTTTAGGCCTTAAACTACACTCCGTGACTGAAGGTCCTGAGCTCTATATTACCTTAAGGGGTTAAATGCCCAGTTCCAGGCATCCTATTTGATGCTGGAGGAAGAGAAAGAGAGGCAGAGCAGACAGGAGCTGTCTGGGCAACTTTGGGGTTAAATCCATCATAAACAGTTTAAGCCTTTAAGATAGGTAATATCCTGCGAGATTAAGTTGTTATGGTGCTTGGAGTGTTCCTCTAAGATCCTAGCTTATCGGAAAACACATCTGACTCGGATATTCTTTTTAAATCTACTGCTTTGCCCCAAATTTTGAAATTTTCTTTGAATTCACTTTAAATGCCTGACAGTACACACTTTTGTAAGAAAAAGAAGAAAAAATATGTTTGTGTTTTTGAAAGATCAAATTTCTTTTTTTCAGTACGGGATGTCTGGAATTAATGGCCTGCCGTTTAGAAAGCGCATTTATGGTGTCTGAATTTTGTAAGCAGTGCAGGAGTCCCTCTAGTGGCAAATTATCAAAATACAATTTAAAAGTGGAGAAAAGTTATTTTATTCTCATTTATACGGTTTTTCACTAGAGTGAGTCAAAATAGTTTGGCTACTTTGTCCTTAAATCTGAAATTCATTTTGGACTCACTTTCAAAAGCTGTATTCACAAAAATTGTAATTATGGAAAACTGCAAATTTAAGACTAAAACAACCAAAATGAAAAAGGTACTGTCAACGTGACAAATTATGGCCTAAATTATGCAGTTGCCTTCGTTTGTCAATTCCAACAACTCACGGTTTGGTGAATAAATAAATGACTCCTTTACAGACTTGTCACGTCCCACGATTTTATCATGTGACACATTACAGAAGTCCTGACCACCCGACAGAGCAGCTCTGGCACACAATGTCAGGAGGACTGGGGTAAAGTGCAACGTGAGTACTTGTGCTGCTCTTGGGAGGAATTGCAGGCCTTGACGGACAGGGATATTGCCAGTGATGCCAATTACGTCATGGGAAATCCCAATCCCACCCAATTCCCTCTGCCAATCCCAGAGCTGCATTTTTGGTAGAAAACGATCATTTTCACTACACCCTTTACTTAATCACCTTCATCATCCCAATATCGGTTTCAGCTCCTGGAGGAACATTGACGCCTTCATCTTCCGGGAATGGCATCTGAGTCTGGTCATGGATGAGGAGACGGATACCGGCCGCATGCGTAATGTCTCTGACATACTCAATCTGTTCAATAAACAGCTCCAAGTGCAGCCCTGTCAGATATACACGCCGGTAATAAGGAAATAAGGATGTGCCATAGGTGTGTGCAGCATGTTGTTTGTATTTAATGTTGCAGAATTGATTAGCACCACATATATAAATAAATAATATATCATTTCGAGTATTTTAAAATGTAGAAAGAAAGAACGAAATCAAATTTAATAATGCATTCTGTTTCAACAGTAACCATGTTGCCTTGATAAAGAAGTACAAACAGATCTGCTTAAATGTACTAGCTTGTTACACTCTGACTGGTGTACCAACCATAAATCCAGTCACAGGTGACTGAGATAACTATGGGCAGTACATACAGTAGGTGGATCACACTTCCTACAATATCTACAAGGAAATAGAAACAACAATATAGTGTAGTATATTGGACAATTTGTCCAATATACTACACTATATTGTTGTTTCTATTTCCTTGTAGATATTGTAGGAAGTGTGATCCACCTACTGTATGTATTGCCTTTATGTTTATTTGAGAGTGGTATAAGGGGTTTCCCACTCAGGTGTTTGATCACACTTACATTGTTCTCACTGTATGTACTATTCCTCTGTTTTTCTGAGATAACTATGGGCCTGGTTATTGGGCCTGTGGTATACTAAAGGCAATCTGAGGCTGGTCCATAAGAGATGAGATGATCGAGGCTGATAAGAGATGATCTAAGTCTGGTCTATAAGGGATTAGTGATCTGAGGCTAGTCTGTAGGGTATAAAATGATCTAAGGCTGGACTATAGGAGATGAGATGATCAAGGCTGGTCTGTAGGAGATACGATAATTGAGGCTGCTCTACAAGACACATGATCTAAGACTGCTCTTTAGGCTATATGATGGTTTATAAGGTAGGAGTGATCTGAGGCTAGTCTCTAGGAGATAAGATGATCTGATATTGGTCTATAGGAGGTAAGATGATCTGTGACTAGTCTATAAGGAATGAGATGATCTGAGGTTGGCTTGTGTGGTATGAAATGATCTGATGTTGGCCTAAAGACTGAAGAAGATAATGAGACTTAAAGCTGATTACAGGGGATAAGATAACCTGAGACTTATCTACAAGGAAATGAATTGTCTTTAGCCCTGGTCTGTGGAATGAAAATATCTGATGTGGTCTGTAAAGGATGGGAACACTTGAAGCTGATCTATATGGGATGACATGACCTTAGATTTGTCTATGGGGAATTAAACAAATGTATTGCTTCTATGTTTAGAGTCACGTCACCTAAGGCGATTCTGAGAGGGCTGAGTTAACCCAAGATGAGCACTAGGGGGTTAATATGACCTGAGGCTAGTCTATGGAAGAAGATATCACCTAAACCAAGCTAACCCAACTGGATGACCTATAACACCTCAGTCTTGATTGCAAGTCTTCTCAGTCATTGACCAGCCTCATATTATCTCCCATTATCTCAATCTCGGGTCATCTCAGTGCCAAACACTAGTGATCAACCCCACAAGATGGTTTTCTCAAACCCCAATGATAAGGTCACTTCTTTACCAACACACAAGTACTAAGGACAACTGAGATCCACAGACCAGCATTAAAGGTATCTTAGCACTTAGCCTCAAATGCTAGCCTCAAGTCACTACGGACCTGGTTTAAAGGCCTTATCTCAGCTAATCTCAGACAATCTCAGCTCTGTATGTAGTGAAAATCAAGTCAATATGGCTCAGATTTCCATAGCATTGGTCTATGGGGGCTGAGATGACCTTAGCACTGGACTACTGGGTAACATACAGTGTTATCACCTGCTTGCATTGTGTGATGTGTGTGATGGTTTGCAATTTATGGTATACATGTGCTGAACTGACCCCAAGTCTATGTGTTTCTCTTTCATGGCCACGAGACTCACCATACATGAAGCCAGCTTTGGTTATATTGAGAGGCTGCATACTAACAGGGCTCCCTCTGAATTCTATGGGTTTCTGAGAGTTGAAGGTGAAACAGTTTCCGAATTTATAGTTAATAAACATAGAGAAGTAACTGTAATCAGAATAAAAGAGAAGGAGATAAGTGATTAACATTATATTGTTTTATTGTAACAATCACCATAGACAAGCTATACTGAGATTATTCTCAGAAATAATGACTTTAGATAAATGATCTGTTAGGTCAAAACAGTTACCAATGTACAAATGGAAATCCTCAAAGGCTGTTAGTACCGCTGCAAAGGCCATTAACCCTTTAAGGACACATGACATGAGTGACATGTCTTGATTCCCTTTTATTCCAGAAGTTTGGTCCTTACAGGGTTAAAGTTTAAGCTATTCTGCCAGTCTCAAGGTAAACATTGTGGGTGAGATCTATACTAACAATTCACATTGCGGCTTTAAAGGCAGACAGGGCAGTGGGAATTGGTATGAATTCAAAGTGACTTTTAAAGGTAAGGCCAATGTAGCCAAAACGGAATCATAATTCATTTGGGGGATTAATTATGTTCTTCTGTGTTGGCCCATCAATTCTCACTTTAGATTACAGCCCTGAAAATCCTTCATAAGTCAGAAAGTGTTATTTTTATTAATTCCTACAAATTTGTACATTTTTAATAAGGGATCTTGTGTGCTACTAACTAATGAGGCATTTGAAGATACACTTGATCTGATATTTCCACTTACCGTAGTTACTTGTGTTTTATTTACTGAATTCTGATTTTATTACTTTTCCTCCAAATTTCAATTAAAGGAACACTCAGGCAACTTAAGCTCATTTAAGCTGTTATGGGGCAGGAGTATCTGGTTGTTTTCTTACAGGAGTTGAGGTTCCTTGCCCCCTCGGCACCTTCCTCTCTGCGTTGCGGTATGTGGAAGAATTGTCAGGCGGCACTCTCAGCCAATCACTGGAGGTCCATTGACAGACATAGTACATACTAATTCTTTCAATAGGCAGTCACTGACAGTCTGAGACATTGAGCTGACACTCTCAGCCTATCTCTGAAAGTCCATTGAGAGAAGTAGTACGTACTAGGCCAACCATTGATAGGCCGAGACATTCAGCTTACACTGTCAGCCTATCACTGAAAGTCCATTGAGAGAAGTAGTACGTACTAGGCCAACCATTGATAGGCCGAGACATTCAGCTGACACTCTCAGCCTATCACTGAAAGTCCATTGAGAGAAGTAGTACGTACTAGGCCAACCATTGATAGGCTGAGACATTCAACTTACGCTGTCAGCCTATCACTGAAAGTCCATTGAGAGAAGTAGTACGTACTAGGCCAACCATTGATAAGCTGAGACATTAAGCTGACACTCTCAGCCTATCACTGAAAGTCCATTGAGAGAAGTAGTACGTACTAGGCCAACTATTGATAGGCCGAGACATTCAACTTACACTGTCAGCCTATCACTGAAAGTCTATTGAGAGAAGTAGTACGTACTAGGCCAACCATTGATAGGCCGAGACATTCAGCTGACACTCTCAGCCTATCACTGAAAGTCCATTGAGAGAAGTAGTACGTACTAGGCCAACCATTGATAGGCCGAGACATTAAGCTGACACTCTCAGCCTATCACTGAAAGTCCATTAAGAGAAGTAGTACGTACTAGGCCAACCATTGGTAAGCTGAGACATTGAGCTGACGCTCTCAGCCTATCACTGAAAGTCCATAGACAGAAGTAGTACGTACTAAGCCAACCATTGATAGGCCGAGACATTAAGCTGACACTCTCAGCCTATCACTGAAAGTCCATTGAGAGAAGTAGTACGTACTAGGCCAACTATTGATAGGCCGAGACATTCAGCTGACACTCTCAGCCTATCACTGAAAGTCCATTGACAGAAGTAGTACGTACTAGGCCAACCATTGATAAGCTGAGACATTGAGCTGACGCTCTCAGCCTATCACTGAAAGTCCATTGAGAGGAGTAGTACGTACTAAGCCAACCATTGATAGGCCGAGACATTCAGCTGACACTCTCAGCCTATCACCGGTTGCCAGTGGAGACAGAGCGGATGGAAGCCAAGCAGCAGCAGTGTTGGGGTGCACGAGCCCCAACTTCAGGGTTAAACTGCTTCAAAATGAGTTAACTCCTAAAGGTAAAAAGATGCCAAGATACCCCTGCCAAAATAACAATTTGAACGAGTTTATGTTATGTTTGTTATGTTGGTGGGTGTGTAATATATACTGACCACCCCACCCCCCTCCACAACCAACTATGTCACCGACATTGCTTTACATCACTCAGCCAATCTCAAGTAACCTCTACATCATACCTGCTATGTCTGTCATGTTTTCATCTTGATCTTCACTTTAATTCCACCCAAATGAAACATGTCTACCAACATGGAACACATATAGCTTCACCTGCCCTGCTGGTCCATAATAACCCTACCTGCAGAGATCTATTTAAATACTGTGAATACTCTCTAGATAGTATCTCTCACTAATCAGACAGATCTTCACAGACTCCATACTCATTCTGAAGATGTCTCCATAGTCTCCATATTTCTTGTGTTGTGTCATAACTACAAATATTTAATGACTATTGTTGTCATTTATAAATCACTCTCCATTACACCATCTCCATACCTGACCCCCCCACACACATACACCCTATATGAGATATAGGGAGAGTATCCTGTGTCGCTTCAGAACATATCACAGATTTTATACTGAATGTAAAGTGTGGGGGAAGTTCATTGTATCGATTGTCCGTTTTGAATGCTTTACGCAGGATGAAAGAGGAGAATTAAAGGACAAGGAGTTACCCATCATTTCCTTATTTCTGTTAATAAAAGAAAAATCGGCAGGTTTCTCATAATTATGGCATTAAAATCGCGGCTGTTCAAGAGCTTGTAATAAGAGACACTGAGAGACGGTTTCAAGCTATTAAACACGAACGTAAAACCTCATCAAATGGGAGAGTAAAACATTATTAAAAGTGAGAGTAAAACATTATTAAATGGGAGAGACTCTGTACTTTAGTTACCCCTTTGGATTGTGCCGTAATCAGAAATTTTCTGTATAGTTACTGGAAATTGATTCTTAAGGGGAAAGACAGCAACATATTGCAGTATTTTCATATAATCTATATAAGACAAATATTCAAGAAGAAAGATTGCAGATTCTCAGGGTCTCGTGGCAAATAAGCAGATTCTCTGGGTGAATGGTTAGATTTTAAGGCTAAATGGGCAGATTCTCTGGGTGAATGGTTAGATTCTCAGGGCAAATGGGAAGATTCTCTGTGCGAATGATTAGATTCTCAGGGTAAATGTGCAGGTACTCTAGGTGAATGGCTAGATTCTCAGTTAAACAGGCAGGTTCTCTGGGTGAATGGTTAGATCCTCAGGGTTAATGCACAGATTTTCAGATTCTTAGCGTGAATAGGTAGATTCTCAGAGAATCTACTATATGCACATATTAAAATAACATATGGAGCATAGTAGAATGGATCCACAAACATCTTAAATCTGTCTACCTCTGAACCTGATGAGCAGACACTCCCTCCTGGAGAGGGTTAATATACCTGGAGTTACATTCCTGACCATGAAAACTGCAGAATATCAGCATCTCCTCCAGCTGATGGCCCATCTCCACCTTCTGCTCATCGGAAAGCTGGTTAAATTCAGACGCGAACTTGTTGAAGGCGCTCGTGTATTGAATGTGTTCATCTGCGAACTCAGAGGAGCCATTGTTACTGTGCGAACGGTTCCTACGATGGGTTAACTCCAATCCTGAGTCCTAAAGGGAATAAACAGGGAGTCAATGTGTGCGCCTGACGCCCTATTCTCTATTTATTCATTCATTTATTTATTATTCTCCACCTGTTCAGGGACAGACACACGCACACGGTTATTCACTAAGCTCCGAATTTTTGCAAATTAATATTGAATAGCAAAACTGAGGCGAAAATAGCCAAGCTGTGACGATCGCTGATTTGGAGAACTTATCCAGACCAGCTATCTATCTCTCCGATTTGACGTGAATTAATCTGTGAGAAATCCGAGTTTAGTGAACTGACAAGCTTCCGTGCAGAATTGGGGGTATATAGAGCTCTGCAGCTGTACTGGCTGTACCACCCTGATGTCGGCTCTGAATGGGAGGCTGTAATATGGGCATACTGTGATAACGCAACATAGGCCCCCCAATATTTTACATGGGCTTAGAGGTGCACTTTTGTTTTAGGGGGTGCGGACAGGAGCTGGGCTAATCCTGTACAGTTTAGGTGACTGAATGACCTACAGATACACATTTATGCAACAGAAAAAAAGTAATTTAGCACAAGACCATGGTATTTGATTTACTGATTGGTTTCTAAACCCATTTATTCATTTATTCACGTTTAAAGTGGTGAAAACCTGCTTCTATTAGTGCTACAGGATATATATATATATACATTACAAATATATATGATTACTCTACACCATGGGTCCTCAAACTCTGGTCCCCCAGATGTTGCTAAACTACAACTCATATGATTCTTTGAATTACATAGATAGCCAGAGAATCATGGGAGTTGTAGTTCAGCAACACTTGGGGGGCCAGGGTTTGAGGACCCGTGCTCTACACTAAACAGACATTGTATAGAAAAAGGGGGGAAAACTGAAGCCAAAAGAGGAGATAGATAGATAGAAATAGACAGACAGACAGACAGATGGATAGATGGATGGATGGATAGATGGATGGATAGATAGATGGATAGATAGATGGATAGATAGATGGATGGATAGATGGATAGATAGATAGATGGATGGATGGATGGATGGATAGATAGATGGATAGATAGATAGATAGATGGATAGATAGATAGATGGATGGATGGATGGATAGATAGATAAATAGATAGATAGACAGACAGATAGCATATTCCCTGTTCAGTATTAAACCTTCAGATAATAAGTGAAGCATCAAAATCAATTTAGGCTAAATCAAGCACCCTGGAGATGTATTGACTACCCCTGCAACTTGTTCTGTGTACAAACGTTGCAACACAGTATCTCTTCATACATATGGCAAGTGTGTAAAAACCAAGATACAGTCTGCTCACAAGTACAATTATTAAAATACATTTCACAAGCAAAAATGAATTCCGGGAGGCATGACAACATGCAGCATTATAAAACAAGATTTTGCCAGCCCTTATACTTTGTCTAGTCAGATCATATTTTCATATACATAGCACAAAGATAATAGTTAGCTCTGACCATATTAACCTAGTGTACAGCACTGAGTGCAGCAGCTCAAGTAGCATATGCACTGTATTATAAATAAAGGACAAGTTGTCCTCGAATAATATGAGCATGCAACAAACATGGAAAGATGAAAAGGGCAATGAGCGGTAAGGGCATCGCTACCTACGTGCAGTGAAGTGGCCATGGTGAAGCTACGCTTTAAGGAGGAGAGCTTAACGCTGTTTAAGTTACAGATGGTGACCGCTGGGAACTTGAGCTTGGCACTGGAGATAAGCATGATCTTCTCGTGCGATGGGTAGGTGTAGTACGTCATGACCATCTCGGTACACTGCCAGAGGGCACAGCAAAGTGCAAAACTCACAAAGGTCAACCAAACCAGCCGTCGGAACCAGTGCCTTGAGCGGAAGATGTTGGGGATGCCATGGGCAGACGTATGATGGACGACTGTTTTGCCCAATTTCTCGAGTGTCATGGCATCACAAGAGGATTTTAGGACTTTCATTTCGGGGTAAGACATCTTCGATACCAGCTTCCAATGTATGCAAGGACCAGGTAGCTAGGAGTCACTGGCTTATCTACCTGATATCATCAGCACAGGAGGATCTTAAAACCCCAGGAACCTAACTCCCAAATGGCACAAAGCTCACTAATCCATCTTCTCTTCGTTATATTGACCTGTTACCTTAGCAACAACTATTATAATGAACTAATTATCCTACATGTCACATATAGCCTCTGAAGAACCTCAGCTTGTGCCATTTGTGAAACTCAATTATAAGAGACTTCTTTGATAAACCTGCTTTTTATAAGCACAATGTTGGTTACTTACAGTATGCTTTTCAATAATATCAGTTCCAGTAACTTGTATTTTCATGCTGTAGACTCATCGACATGACCTGTCACGTTATATGCACCCAATTATACCACCCACTGATCCATGGACCTTCATTATATTCACACATGAATGCATTGCCCCAAATATATCACCCATTGGTTCATGACCCCCAAAATATCATTATTGTTATTATAGATATCATAATAATTTAATAATCACAAACATATCCTGCAGCACTATGTAGTGTGTTGATAAGATATATAAGTGAATTCAACACGACATGTTTGATTTACAGAAATAAGAGGCCGTGGGGACCTTGAGCTTACAAGCACGGCAGGATGTACCTTCCTTGCTGCCCCAAGGCCAGTTTCCTTAATGCACCCGGATCCCTTCACATATACATGTGCAAAAAGTTAGGTGAATCTGATTGGAAGGTTGACTCTGACTAGTTTTGGATGTGCAATATTGGGGTATTTGAATGGATGGTGAATGTTTCTACTTTGGGTGGTTGCATCATAAGTTGGACAGGGCTGGTAGAGGATTTGCGCGTGTCTGTAAGCTGTTTGTGATTTTGAACGTACGGGGTTGGATGCTGCTTGTGGTGTATGTTTGTGGGGATGTTGCTTGTGGTGTTGCTTATTTCTGGGGATGCAGCTGGTTCATGATACCAGAAATCACAAGTCAAATTCGAAGCCGAGGTCAAACACAGGAAATCACAAGGGAATCTCTAGGAGCACTAAACGGGGCTCTATAAAGAAACAACGATAGGGCAAAGGATAGGGCTTAAAGCAAGCTGTAAATAGGCTTACCTGTAGTGATGTCCCGAACGGTTCGCGAACAGTTCTCCACGAACGGTTCGCTGCGGACTCATCATTGAGTAAACTTTGACCCTGTACCTCACAGTCAGCAGACACATTCCAGCCAATCAGCAGCAGACCCTCCCTCCCAGACCTTCCCACCTCCTGGACAGCTCACTAAGAATGAAGCTTCACAATGGATGTAAAATGGATGCTGTCCAGGAGGTGGGAGGATCTGGGAGGGAGGGTCTGCTGCTGATTGGCTGGAATGTGTCTGCTGACTGTGAGGTACAGGGTCAAAGTTTACTCAATGATGAGTCCGTGGCGAACCGTTTGGCGAACCGTTCGGGACATCACTACTTACCTGTGTTCTGACCGGTCCACGTCATCATTGCGACTCTTTTGCAACATCACTCCTAAACTCTATTTAAGAAAACACCTGTGAGCGGACAGCGTCCGAAGGTTTGACTGTAGCGACTTGACGCCATCAAATGCAGGGGAGCAATTTGCTGGCGCCTGAAGGTTAAGTAATCTTTATTTACCGATGCCAATGTCGCGCGGCTGCATGGAGCGGTCGGACTGCGTGGCAGGAGGAGGGCTGCCTGTCTCGAGGGAGGTGAGTTCACTCTACACTGATATACTAAAGGCTGCTAACTGGTAGATGCCATACTCCAGGGGTGGAGCTTGTGGGATGCAGACCGGTGCTGTAAAATTCTGTTTCAATGTGGAACTATGAATGAGAATGGGCTGGCCGGTGATGGAGGTCTTTAATGTACTGCCCCTCTCCTGCTTGCCACCTCGATCCCATGGATTTGGTGACCTTGTGGGAAACAAAGTTAAAGGAGGTGGAAAAAAATTATACAAAGCTATTGGTAAAGCACATTCTGTTCAAAGTAAAATGGTTTGCTAAGCATTTCAAAACATAGTTTGTAAACATTAAAGAACCTGAGTAGAGAAGAAGCTGAAATTGATGAAGATAGAAGTGAGATGCAACAAATAAAAGAAGTCCATTGGTTCGTCGATATATCTTCCTAAGGAAGTGAGGTTTTAACGTTTTCGTGAAAGACTTAAAATTAAGAAAATGTTTAATTGGAGAAGGGTGGTGAGTGTGAACCGAAGAAAGGTGTAAGTTATCAGCAGAGTAGAGAGGTCAGCATGGGATACACTTGTTTATTAGTGACGATATGTAGATAGAGACATGGTTATGAAAATTGTTAGAGGTAAGTACTAAAATATTAATCTGGACCTGCAATTTTTACCTCTCTGAAGTGGTTTCTACATTATTAAAAAACAAAATATATATATATAGCTTTTATTAATTTATTCAATCAATTAGTGAAGAAAACATTAAAGGTTAGAAGTTTGTAGAGAAAAATAAATATATATTAAAAAGAAAATCATGTGAATTAAAGCCAAATCCTTTATCCATGTCTTTTATAATCCAACTGCTACCTAGACTGCAAAACACAAAATCCAGTTTGTAGGAATAAGGAGATAAGAAATTGTTGGCACAGATTAGAAATGGTAAAAATATCTTAATATTATAGTCTAAATATTATATATCGATGAGAACACTACTTAATAATGTTTTAAATATAGAAAGTACAGGACTTTTTACCTGTTTCATTATTCTTGTTTGCTCTCGAGTCTTCAATAGTTTATAATCTCTAAGAAACTGAGACTGATAATAAAATCTCGTGTCTGAGGGGCCTTAATTAGGAATTACAGTTTAACCTACAGTCGGTCATAGAGCAGGCAGCCATAATTACAGCTCTTAGCCCACACTGTGACTTTATTCTATATCCTATCATCATCAATGTGTCTACAGATACCTAATGTAACAATACAAGACATTTTGTGAACGATCTATTGGTATAACATGATCTAGTTTCTGACCTGGAATCCCTTGCCAGTTATTTGTCTTTGGCCAACCACGATCATTGAAAGGTATTCTGGCATCACGAAAGTACTGTTTCCTAGAATTAAACAGATAAATTATTGCATTGTCTTTACTAAACCATGAATTCTCCAGGTGTTATGAACGATGTGTTGTTTGATCCCTAAATTGTATCTGGGCGGGCATTGCCATATATTTGTCTTCTAGCAGCAGCCATGGCAGGCTGGCACCACGGATAGTGGATGACACACTGTAACCATTGCTGTGCGAGAAAATTCCATCCAGCATATGCCAATGAGACATGTTTTGCAGTTAAGGCGTAGCAATGTATGCTCATCTAATAAAACCTGCCTGGTTTAATGATGCATGTCCCGCTTAGAGATGTATGCCCAGTTTAATGATTATTGTTCACTCTACCCATGCCTGTCTATAAATATATTATCTCAATTCTGAAAGACTATATCCACTTTCTAGATGGTTCTAGGACATCAGAGATGGAAACCAAGACATCCAAACCATTTTCCCAAACAAAGACAGTGAACCTAAGTTACGTGGTATGCAGACTAAATAAAGAAAAGTTGGCCAAGGAGGTTATCCACGGATAAAGGGAGCAGAGAAGGGGGTAACCCTAGGGGAGTGGAACGAACAGAAATAAGAGCGGAATCTGTCCCTATAATTAGAAGTGTGAAGATACTTTATTGTATTTACCAAAAAAGAGAACTATAGACACACAGCCCCTTTCTCTAACTGTCTGACTCAGACAGAAGCAATAACGGTAGTTTATGAAAGGGGCATACGGATAAGGGATAAGGGGAGTGGAGAATGACACACAAAAAAAAGTGAGTCCCATAGGTCCACACAAACAGTCTGGAGCAGGGCTATTGGTGGCAATCTCCAGTATTGTGGTGTGGATTAAATGAGGAACAAAGCTAATTGGAAAGTGTAGCGGAGCTGCAATGTTAAATCCCAAGATCTCCGCTGGTACAGAAAGTGATCCAAGTCAAGCGCTGGAAATGAAGGCAATATCCCAAATCCCCCAGTAACCGGACGAAACACAGTTCTGGGAGTCAACAGACAATTTTATTCACAGCTCCAGTATTTAGGTGATTCCCCATGCAAGGGGTTTCCTTAGTCACTTTACAGGGGTTGTACAGTAGTGGACTACATGGGGAACTGAAAATACAGGGCATTTCTCCCACCATGCACTGCTGTACGGGAGGGATACTCCCACTAGAATAGCCTGTTAAGTGGATTATCCCTCCGTACAGCAGAACGGACTTTTCACATAAAATTGCATAACTTCAATATTACACATATGATTCTACCGAATGACCGTTCGGTAGATAGCTGGGGTCTGAGCGCACACTTTGTGAAAGTACCACTCAGATCCCAGCATAACTAACCGAACGCCGCACGAAACACACGTTATATTCCATTCACCTGAAAAGTACCGAACACATATGGGGGAATAAAGTACCGAAGGACCGGTGCTCTTGAACGGCCTGGAAGTCCAGCGGTGTCCGCGCCGTCGAGTAGCCGATTCTAGTTCCAGGTGCTCGACGACCAAACACCGCTGGTATAACAAAGGATCCAAGATGGCCGACCGCCGCGTGGTCGGTAGCCGAACGACGGCCACCTAGGAAAGCACTAATCCGCCGATTGCTACAATGTTGCAATCGGTTAATGGGAGCCACACGACCCTCTGTCTGTGGGCTCCCATTCGGTACTTTATTCATTTCACGAACAGTGTATAAAGTCACTGTTCATGAAACTACCATAGGAATGCTAACAGCTTTCGGCTGTTAGCCTACGCAGGCTCTCTATTATAAAAACACACGAATACATTCTTACACAAGATTAACACAGCTTTTTACAGACAACCTTCAGGTGTTAAGCAGTATGACCTAAAGTGGCTAGGTTTGCCACAGAAAGGATAGGCAAAAAATCAGAAGCTGTGATCAGCGTTGGAACTA